TCCCTCCCTCTTTGAACTCTGTTTTGTGTTTAATAAAAAAAAAAAAAACCCAACACAGAATGCAATGTGTATCCATAAAAAAAAGTTCTTACCAAAATAAATTCAAATGTGCTCTTTACGAGTCCTGAAGATCCTGAAAGTTTTATGTATTTAAAATTCAAATTGCTTTAAAAACTAGGTTCTTTCTACATTAATTCATTTACAATTGAAGTATATTTTCATTCAGTTTCACACACTTGTCCTCAAAGGAAAACTGACCAAAACACTCCCCACGTTTTTCAAATCACTTAAGTGATTCTTTAAGTCGGTAATGTAGATGTGTGATACCTAAATTAGCAATGGAAAAACTTTAATACTCAAAATGAACTGGTCAACCAAGTATGCATGGATAAGTTTCATCCTAGAAAATGTGTCCAGCAATGCCCACATAGTAAATAGAAGCCACCTCCACCCTGCTAGCTGATCAGCTACTTCACTGATGCTGTGTGCTACAGAGAGACAGGGGCACACACGCGTATTGTACAGAGGAATGTGTACATGCTAGTAAGAAAGACTAAGGAGGGGTTCCTGGCAACTTGCTGAAAGATGCTGAGAACGAACGATATCTGTCCACAGCCTATCAAGGTTGGCAGGGTTGCGGAGTGAAGGTGGGCTAAGGAAAAACAACAGAAAAAGAGATGGAGTGACCATGCGCTTCTTCTTGTAAATGTAGGAAAGTAGTGCATGACTAATAATTATTAAAGATTGTGAAAGTCTCTGAACTTAACCACATGCAATGTTTTAGAAAGTCAACAGCTGAAGAAATGAACTCCTTCCTTACTACATGGAATGAACTAAAATCCACAGTCAACTAATGGTTCGCTCTCCCGTGGGGACATGACAAAGCCACAGGACATAGGTTTCCCCGTTACTCACTCTCCCCTTAGGTTGGTACAATGCAGGACGCAGAAGGAAAGCAACCCTCCACCACTGGGCTGAAGAATGCAGAGGGAGGGGTTTCAACTGGATCGTTCTAGTTCGTAATTCAGCATCAGACACAAAAACTGCTGATCAGAATCCTAAAACCACTAACAAGTTAAAAAAAATAAATCCAAGAATAAGGAAAACTATTCATTTTATCTCAGATAGTTGAAATAATAAAAATATGCTTTCTATTGCAATGTTAACAGAAACACCCACAATTTTAGTGATTCCTACTCTAGCCCCAATTTAGACACAAATTAAGACCTTATGTGAAACGAGCCTAAATTAATACAGTAATGAAAAAAATCGAACGTGTACTCACCACACCAGATGAATTTAACAACGTAACCATTTCTGGTTTGAACTGACAACAAATGCCTTGTTTTATTGCAGATTGTTTTGTGACTCTAACAGCCGTTTCTGTGTGGAACACACATGCGCAGGGGAAGACGATGTTACTCACACACACTTGTTTATAAATACATATATACACACACACATATACATATCAACACCAACTTTTCTCAAAATTCAAGTTGACAGTTTAGTAGCAGAGACGCTATAAAAAACAGATAACATTTTTAGTTGCCACTCTGTCATGTGAACCATTTACTTTATCATACAACTGAAGATACAGCCATCTTGACTTCTACCTGGATTAATATAGGTACTTCTGTTACTGATGCAAGGTTTGAAAACAAGTTTACTATACACAAAGGGGGTCCTTCAACTCTGAGAACACGAAGTGGTAACATAAAATGCCAGTCTGGGAACTGGCGATGGTGTGCCCCTTCTCTGCTGAGAATCCTGCGCCCTCCACCAGCTGCCATCCAGCTGCCTTCCACTGTAAGGGCAGTGCATCTTCTCTGATGACTCTCAAGTATAAGACGCACTTTTTCCTTCCTTTGACCCTTAATCATCTTCTGAAGAAACTGTAGTATATTTACATAGTCTGCTATTGAGAGTAGATAAAACCAACTGATTCTTGAATTTAAAAAAATGGCTTCCTATGTCATGCTTGTCATTAAAAGGTGAGTAAAAAATAAACAAGGCTAAGAAAGGAAGTATACTCAGAACCAGAGGAACAAAAATAACTAAGGTTAGTTTTGAGTTTCAACTGTTGATCCAATAGATTTGCTACAGATCCACATGTGGGCTGCACTGTACTGTCAACTTTAGAGGAACTCAATTCTTTCTTTTTTGAGGTGGAATAATGTCCTCTGCCAGCTGCATACAGCACCCCATGGGGCTTCTAGGGCTCTTTCATATTCCACTTTGGTATGAAGATTCTCAAGGAAACTTGCTACCCTGTGGCCAAAATGCAGGTACTCACAGACTTGGCTTACATACAAAATACTGGCAATTCAGATTCAGAATCAACCCAAGTGTATCATGGTTCACAGGCCTGCCCTCAGACTGCTTATCCAGGCAGCTTTTGCTCTAGCACTTCTAGGAAACACACTCTTAGGGGGTACTCAGCAGATCACAGAAGACCTGTGATGGAGAACATGCATTGGGAGAGCTGAGAAAGATGCTCATGTGAGCATTCAAGACCTCTGAAGCACTCTGAAAGAAGCAGGCAACTGATATTAACTAAATGCCAACCCAGGAGGAGAGGGGACAGTGATGACAGAATAGTACACACAGGAACACACTGAAAACACACACCCCCACGAGCTATGTCCTGAAAACAAAGGGAATGAGTGGGACAGGTGAGAGTCATAACTTAAGGCTGGTAAAATCCACGCATACACAAACAGAATCCAAGTCTGATGCTTTTAAAAAATGGAAATCAAAACTATCCCAACCCCCTCCCCACAACAAAGCCCACAATTTAAAACTTCATACATGCAATTCTGTTTCTGTTATTGCAAGTAAGATAATGCCATTGAAGTAAAATAAAACCCAAACCATAGGACAAACGGTGAAAAGTCTTCAGAATCCAGAAAAAATGAACTGAAGGAGGTTTGTGGGTGCTTGTTTTTTCTTTTCTTTCCTTCCTTTTTTTTTTTTTTTAAAACAAGTGTTTTATCAGACAGGCAGTCTTAGATTTATATACAAAAGTAAAACTGAAAATATAGTTTTGTTCTCTGTACATTTCTTTTAATTTTTTTTCCCTAAAAACAGGAAAAAAAAAACCACGCTTGTGTACTTTTCTAAACAGGATAAGGTAAAACAGCACAGAGTTCTCTTCTGCCAAGTCATTTAATGTGGGACAGGGTGGGAGCAGCAGGATGAGGCCGTCAGTCCAACGAGATAATGTCTGGGATTATGCCAAAGATGGATGCCGTGTCCGCGCTGCTCCTGCTGGCCACACCATGGCCGTGGCTCTCCCTCAGACTGTTGGAAGACACAAGGCTGCTGTTGCTGCCACTACTGCTTCCGTTGGTGGCTGGCAAAGAAGTGCTTCCTCCAGCACTTAGCTGGTCCAGAAACATCTGCGAGGAGGTATACGGGAAAAAGCGGGAGGAGTGCAGGAGGTCCTGGTCATCTGAGACCGCGGCCGCCGCTGCGGCGAGCAGGGAGGTGTTGTAATGCTAGGAGGGACCAGAGACAGAACACTCTCGTTACAATCAGATGCACCTCGGCACTCTTCTCAGCACAGCAAGTCCCAAGTTAGCATATCCCGAGTGTCTGGCTCCTCAGAGGACAACACATTCTGCAGGGAAATGACTGCTCACTGATACTGAGAGCGCTTTGGCATGGCATCTGAAACTGGAATAACATTTTTGATTGTGTGGTGTGTGTGTGTTTTAGTTTGCACTGCATGCAGTTCTTAAAACTATTTCTGAGATGCTCAGAAGCAGCAGGAAGGAGCGGCCGCCCCTCTCCTCAGACACACCTCGCATTCCCACTGACAAGTTCATCCTGAGAACTGCAGCATGGAGCAGCTCAGCTGCTATGGGGCCCAGCCCGAGGCCGGCTCTGTGCAGCCCATTACTGCTTTCAGCACTGTGGGCACGGGGCACATGTCTGTGCACATGAGCGCGTCTGAGCTGGAAAAGGCAGGGAGAATTTGCTGTAAAAGATAAGCCACGTCCCACTCGTGTGGGCACTTCCAGAGTCGGGTGTGTGGGGCTGCAAGTGTCTCAGTCAGGGACTGCAGCTGAGTGGCTGTGAAGGCTGAGGACATTATCTCTGTACTACTGTGGGCTTTACCATCACTCTATGCTTAGGTTACTCTACATTTATTTTAAAAAAAAAAAAATACCAATGCTCATCTTTTCTTTAATTAACTACAGTTATATAACAATTTTACTTTGTTTTTAAACTTTTTAATTTTTAAAGATTTTATAACATGTATTAATTATACACAATAATGGGGTTCACATGTATACAATGTCTTTTGATCATAATTACTCCCTCCTAGTCCCCTCTCCCTCTAGCTGATCCCTCCTCTTCTCCACACTCTACTTCTAATGTGTATGTGTCCCAGTGAGTTACTCAGTGTTATTGACAGAGCATGGACAACTTACCAGTGGCTAACCACTAAACATTAACTGCCTATAGATCTTCAGAGAGGCTGGGGCTCCCTAAGCCCTTCCAACTACTTTATTCTTTAAAATAACACTTAAAACATGAATAGACTGTATAGCTGTGCAAAAACATTCTTTCATCATCTCTATACCCTATGAGATCTAATTATGTATTCTGCTGAAAAGTAAGACAAAAATATACATATACTCCTAGGTCTACATAGGCCAGGGGTCAGTATCACTGTCTTCTAGGCACATCTTGTTTCCTGGAAGGTTTTCAGGGCAGGGACAATGCCTACTTCTGGATCCCTCCTGATGACCCACTAGAGCTCATCCTAAGCAGGTGCCCTTCTCCCAAAACACGCTGTGGTGCTTTGCTTGGCCTGTCCCTTTCCATGCGAGATGCTTGTGAACAGTGCACACAAACACTCTCCTCCTCTGACATTCTCTTCTCAAGCATCAGAGGGGACTGCTGCTGTCTGCACCAGTTCCCCTAGCTCCTCTATGAAGCTTCTTGGGGCTCCTTCTGTCTCCTCCAGTTCCCCTTTCTTTGCCTGCTTTTCAGTTCCAAGGCTCCCATAACAGTTTCCTTAGGAACCTCTCTGGGGCACCTCAGTGTCACACATACCATTTTGGAGTTACTACAGCACTGCTTTGCAACCTCCTCACCAAAAGCAAATTCTCTGCAATCAGTAATAATGTCTGGAGGGTTTCCTCCAGATGCCATTAGTTCTGTTACATCAGCCCAAGCCTAAACAAGGCTACTGAACAGCACTGGTGCTGCCACTGAGGACACAGGTATGTCTCCTCAGTGTTCCTGCTGCAGGAGAGCCTGGACAAAGGCCCTCCTCAGGCAGTGGGCTCAGAGGCCCAGCAGATAAAGGTGCTTGCTGTACAGCCTGAGCACTTGAGTTCAATGGCTGGAACCCATACAGAGGCAGAGAGAACTGACTCCATACAGCTGTCCTTTGACTTCCAAACATGTGCTGTGTTGCACATATACAACCATGCATACAACTGTTATAATAAATAAAAATATATATACAGAGAGGGGCCACAGGAGGAGCTGGAGGAGGGGTGGGTTGAAATAATGTGAATATAGTATACTCATGTATGAAATCCTCAAAAACGTTTAAAAAAAATCTCCTTGATCTATTTTTCTTGGTTGGGTCAGAGACATGGTGTCGGAACGAGACCACCACTGTGATACTGGGATGAAGGACGATGTACGTGAGCACTATCACCAATGAACATCTTGCAAAGTTTGCTCATCTCCAACCAGTGCTCCAGCTTGCTGGCACGAAACTCAGGAAGGCATCTAGACAGTGGCTGGATCACTGCTTTGGTGGTGAGATGTGCTTCTGCCTCCTGTCCTTAATCCATGTCCTTAGCCATTTCTCCATGGCTGAAGCAGGCCTTTCTCAATCTGTGTTGTCTCACTGTTTTCGATGTGACTTTGGTCACTTTGTTCTTGCTCTTCAAGTCTGTAGCTCTAGTGCAATGGGACAGCCTGACTGGTGAGTAATACTCACTGACTTTCTCCTTCTATGCACCGTGATCACTTTTAGTTTTGTTTCCAGATCACTACATGTGGCCTTTTAGCAATTGATTTTGTACATTTCGAGCCTGAGATTAATAAAACAGCAGGAGCTCGAGACAAACGTGGGATAAGCAGTGGCAGCAGCAGCAGCAGAGCTGCAGTACACACAGTGTGAGGAAGCACAGCATACTGTACAACTGAAGTCAACAGTCACTCGCTACCACTACCTAGTGCTTATGGACTGCACACAACCGTTTGCTTTAAACACCATTGGCGATGCAGCAGCACCACAGCCTAGGATGCCTTGGGCAACAGACACTCTCACACATGTGGCCAAGACTGAAATCTACCAGTCACATGGTTCACTGCCCTGTGTCTTTATACAGCAGTATTGAGAAATCAATAGGCAGACATTGCTTTTACCCTCTACTGGGGGTGAAGGTGGTGATGAATGGTGGCTTTTATTTAAATTCTTACAGCCAGAGCAACACTGGTCATAGGTACCCTACTTTCCAAGGAAATTTACTCTTTCTTCTGGCTATGTATTATATACTTTTAGATAATTTAATATACAATTAAAGAAATGGATTGTTTTCACATTAACGTACCTGATTGTCTCCTGATAAGAAAGGAAAGAAATCTAATCCTGTGGAAAGAATAAAAAAAACTTAGTTTAGAGGAAAAAAAAAACCAACAAAAAAGAAAAGTAAACCTTTCTAAATATCCCAGCACTTAAGTCTTACACTCTATGCACTCTGGATTCATGCTTAAACACAAGGAATGCTGGACATGGGGTGCACACCTTTGATCCCAGCACTTACAGGAGGCAGACGGAGGCAGATCTTTATGAGTTAGAGGCTAGCCTGGTCTACATAGCAACTTCCAGGCCAGCTAAGGGGACATTAAAAGACTTTCAAACAACAAAAAAAGCCTATCAAAACAAAACAAAAAAACGAAGAGCGAAACAAAAGCCATAGAACGTTAAGCTGGGGGTTCCATGGCTCTTCCACCTCTAAGCTACAAAGGAGAAAGTCCAAGTTTGGAAACAAACGCCTTGCTTTCACTGACTCCTCACAAGTAAACATTCATTTATTCATTTATTTTTGGTTTTTCGAGACAGGGTTTCTCTGTGTACCTTTGGTGCCTGTCCTGGATCTCGCTCTGTAGACCAGGCTGGCCTCAAACACACAGAGATCCACCTGGCTCTGCCTCCCGAGTGCTGGGATTAAAGGTGTGCGCCGCCACCACCTGGCTAAACATTTATTTATTTAGATAGAATCTTGTAGTGCAGGATGGCCACAACCTATATTGACTTTGAACTTTCATTTTTTTGGGGGGGCGGGGGGTGGGGGGTGAGGAGGTATTGGTTTTTCGAGAAAGAGTTTCTTTGTGTAACAAAGCCCTGGCTGTCTTGGGCTTGACTTTGAACTTCTTAATCGTGTCTTTACCTCTAAGTGCTGGGATCACAGGCATATATCACCATGTTCAGTTTATCTGGTGCTGCGAATCAAACCCATTGCTTCATGCATACTTGGCAAGCACTCTCCACACTGACCTATGTCCCTAGCCCTTAGATTTCAATCTAATTTACTGTACATGAATGCCTCTTGGGGTCTTTCATTACTTTTGGTTTGATTTTACAACTGAAACTTTAAGAGGCCACCCAAGTTGTAGCGAAGCTTTTCATTCTCCTCCTCAGATGTGTTGTTCACTTGCCATCATCTAGACCAGATTAAAACCCAAGTGTGACTGTATAGCCAGGCATGATGGGGCATGCCTTTAATCCCAACATTTAGGAAACAGAGGCAGGCGGACCTGCTACACAAGAGACCCTGACTTTAAAAACAAGTGTCTGGTGGCACCACAGAAAAGCTCAGCCCTGATTCCTGGCCGCAGGCAGACCCTTCCTAACCTACATACTGCTTTACACTCCTCAGCACTACATAACAAAGAACAAGAAAAGGAGTGTCTCACGCTGACGTCTGACCGTGACGTACACAAGCAAGGCAGTGCTCTGGCAACCACTCCTGCCCACACCAGAAGAGACTACAGTATGAGGACCTACAGAACATGTTCCAATAGTGATGGATGCGTGCAAAGAGCTAGGAAAGCTCTTTAGAAAACTGCTGGAGTAACCAGCTTCTGGGAAGTTCAATGACTAGTCCATAAGCCATGAAGTTTTAAAGATAACACTCAGAGTTGACATTCTTTTTGAGATACAAATGAATATATTGGCATTTCAAACTCCTCTTAAAAAGGCTAAGTGTGGCCGGGCGTTGGTGGCGCACGCCTTTAATCCCAGCACTCGGGAGGCAGAG